TCCCCAGTAGTACAATTATATCACACTGATCTGCAGTGAATATTTGCTAGGCCGCTACAATCACTGATAAGGATGACATCGATGCGGCTTAATGAGCCAGAAATATTAACTTTTTTCCTGCGACAAATTAAATTCTAAAACATTTTTTTTATGTATTGGAAAAATAAATAAAGGCGATTGACGTATTTGTAGGTAAAAATTATTTCCTATTTAGTGTAAATGGGTATTAAAATGACTAAAATGCAGCATTCTCTCCGAAGCAGTAACGTCTTATGTAAACAATGCACGTGCCATTCAGCCAATGATTGACGCCGCGTGCTGTGACAGCACGTGTTAAGGCAGTCATCTTTGACAGAGATATATCACTGGACTCGTAATTCTCTGTGAAACAGATTGCAATTATATATGAATTTTTGTCAATAATACGAAAGCACAGGTTGTTTGCAAAATCAATGTCAAATCCCCAGACATTGGACAAAACAGCCTTTTTTTCATAAAAATCATTTACATGTATGTACATGTATCAATATTTAGATAACTGGAAACTAGTCCACATTTCTAAGGCTGTGTATATTTTTCAAACTTATACAGGCAAATTGAATGTGAAAATGAATTATGTTTACGGCATTTCAGACTATACTTTATTGCAATTTCTGTGTAGCTTGTCTTGTCTGCAGGTTTGTCTTATCAGTTTGATTTTGGATGTAGTGCGGTTTTCCTGCTCTTATGATGTGTACTACGTGTACTAAAGACTCTGATCGTCATTTAAGATATTCTCAATACTAGCAAACTACAATATTGTGGAAGTTAAATATTTTACAAAACATTAAATTTTCCTTAAAAAAATTAACTACATCTACTCACTATTTAGTATTCATTTGATAAAAATAACAATATTATTACGGTTTCAACTAATCAACACAATCAATTAAAAGGCTATTGAAAAACCAGAAAATTGCATGCTGAGTGAGTACTTATTGATCGATTGATTGGTTAATCCCCAATTCACACTACTAATTAATTACTGATTATGTACTATGAGCTGAAGCTAGATTCTGAATTTTTTGATTACAAGTATGTAGATTTTAGTGTAAGTTTCACCTCGATGATCAGCTTTTCAGATGACTTCTTGCATACTGATATTACTAGCCAGTAACTATTAGCTACGTATATGGTTGTTGTTCTTGGTGTTTAATGTCCACTTCCACCGAGGGTGATATCGCAGACAATCACCCATGGTATGTTATTCAATACATATTTATAGGGGTTGAGTGGCCGAAAGGTTAACACATGCACATTGGATCAGGTCTGTCATTGAGTCAAGTGACATGGTCTCGATTCCCCGCTTGTACATGACAAGAAGTAGGGTCGCATGCCCAACCTCGTGGGTTTTCCCCGGGTCCTCTGATTTCCTCCTACTGCTAAAGACCCCACGCACAAGTGAATTATTGAAATAAAATTTAACAATATGTTAGTCCCAAAATTACCTAATCTGTGTCAAGTGGACATTAAACTCCATTTCTCTCTCACTCAATACATATTTACGCAATTATGGGATCTGAAAACAAGCCAGAGCTTACATTACATAAATTTATCACCTGTTAGAAATATTTTGTTTATAACGTTATAACTTTTATCATAAATCAAAAGGTTTCATTGATATTGAAAATTGTAGATGGAGGAGAGATAAATTTTCTATGTACAGGATTTACATGTATTTGTCATTCCACCAAAGCTAGCTGTATATAGACATTGCTACAACTATATGTATGTTACATGTAAATTCATGTACACATGTAAATATCATTGGATTGATAATGAATAACAAATATTACTCATTTTGAATTTTGTTTGGACGTTTTGACCAAAATGTCTGGCCCTTTTGACCAAAATGTTTGGCCGTTTTGACCAAAATGTTTGGCTGTTGTGGTTTAAGGCTGTTACAGTATGTCCTTAACCCTACAATTACATGTATAATCTACCGTTAAGACTTTGATTTTATCTTTCTTAATTAAATGTTAACAACTTTATTTTAGTACCGTACATTGTAGTGTAACCAGCTTGGTTCTTAGTACTGTTGGCTATTCATCATAGATCATAACACTTGATTCAGTTAGTTGTAGAACTTTATGTAGATACAGTAATAACAATTATAACAGACATTACACAGAACTAAATTACCGTATAACTATATAGAATTATGCACAACTAAGAGGTATAATTTCAAGAGTTGGCCTAAGTTAAATGTAGCCTGTTACCTGTGTCTCCTACCTAACTTGATTCCTTCTTGGGGCCATCTCCATATTTATATCTATGAAGATGTAGCCCCTAGATACCTATATTACAATTAACATAAACACAACAATTTAGACACAGATTAAAATATTAAAAGAATACAAAGAAGATTATAGACATAGAAGATAGGCTTATAATATTAATTATATACATGTAATCATGTATTAAAATATTACCATTAGGACACATTATTCCATTCAGTCTCATTCTTATTAGAATACATTCTCGTTAAGAGGACTATGCTCTAAGATGTCATATCAATGTTAAGGTAACCCATTTAATTATATACATGTAATCATGTATTAAAATATTACCATTAGGACACATTATTCCATTCAGTCTCATTCTTATTAGAATACATACTCGTTAAGAGGACTATGCTCTAAGATGTCATATCAATGTTAAGGTAACCCATTTAATTATATACATGTAATCATGTATTAAAATATTACCATTAGGACACATTATTCCATTCAGTCTCATTCTTATTAGAATACATACTCGTTAAGAGGACTATGCTCTAAGATGTCATATCAATGTTAAGGTAACCCATAATTAACTAAACCATAGAGAGGGAATTGTAGGGTCTTGACAGACCGTGGTGACAGTAGCATGGATGAAGCTGTGAACAATATGATGCAAATACATGTAAGCGTGCAATTTACAAGTACTTAAATCTAAACCTTTCTGTTCACATTTAGAAAACAGATATTTCGCAAAACATTTCTCAATGTGAATACAACCAGTCGATAATTCTGTATTATATTGTGGAATGTAAGCTCAACAATACATACAAACTCAAGAGGATCCACAATGATAAAGAAACAAACTCATTGGCTAATGCTGCTAGGCTTCAACATTACCATAGTCCAAAAGACAGGCCCCAGTACATACCAACAGACTATCAGAACTGCCAGGAAGACCTAAATTCTGAAGAAACGGACATTAACGATGCCAAGCTGAAGCAGGACCAAAGAACTAAACAGGCAATACCAAATCAGAATACGCCAATAAACCAAACAAAGGCATATGAAATGTTGATATTCCAAAGAAATAAAATGTTAACATGTTATGGTTATTAGGATACTTCAACTGGTCCAACAAGGAATAAACATAAACCATACAACAGGGGACATGTAAGTGCTATTCTAGCTTCTGCGTGCCAAAAGGGGATTATAATATACAAAATACGATGGAACCACAGAAGCTTGCCAACCTTGGACTGGGAATTATCTGAAAGCATACCAGACAACTTAAGACAGGGCCTTTATTCACGAAAACTTAAACTAAGATACAATCGAAATTTTAAGAAATACTGCAATTCGATTGGCTGACCAGTAAAATCAATTTGCATATATCCAATGAAGTTGCAGTATTTCTTAAAATTTCGGTTGTAACTTAGTTTAACTTTTTGTGAATAAGGGCCCAGGAGTACCACATCAACAAAAATATGAAGGGTAAATCAAGGAGGAAGTCTCTGCAAAGAAACCATAAATTTCTGACCAATTGCCCAAAGTATCAATGATCAATTGATAAATAAACAACAACATATTAAATACTTAACTAATTAGCTTCTACCCTGATTGACATTAACCATGACACATTAAATACAGTACTATCTAAATCTGACTGTTCATTATGCCTGGTCATATTATCATAATAACTTCACAGAAAAATGAATAGACAAAAAAAAAATAGAAATTCTCATCTCATAAACATGTAAAATGGATATATGTCTGACATAAAATTGTTATAAAATTTTTTAATAATATACATTTATTTTATTAGTATTACATGTATGTATTGAATATTTTGAAGGAAAAAAAAATGGAATTCTCATGTACATGTACATATGATGTGCCAGATCTCTGATTTGAATAAAAAAAATAAGTGTTGATTTACATGTAACTAAGTTTGATGTGTTGATTTGCTTTGTGAAGTGGGTACCTGGTTTCTGCACTGAAAAAATTTAACCTAATTTGAGATCGAACTGATTTTGTATTCCACCATTGACAACAGTTTTAAGCCAAAATGAAAGTAAAATTAGAAAACAACTGACTTCTGCTTAATCTTATGAAATGAATTTAAACCTTTATAGTGAGTGTTTCCATGATGGATTAAAATAATCCAGTCAGTTCAACCTTTATTTTGACCTAAATCAAAGGGATCAATCTCCTCTAAATTAAAAATATTCTTTGGGAAGGACTAGGATCACCAAGACAATAATACGAAAACATGTATATCTTTAATTAATTATTAAGACTTCTTAAAATACAGATGTGACGCCACCCTTTGATGTTGGCGTACCATTATTTCAAATAATCGTACGGGCAACTTGCCAATCGTACCTTGTCAAATATTAGACTCGAGTGACGTATTTCACTGTAAACGCACGTGCGGAGTGTCTGTATTTTAAGATGTTTAATGGTCTCGAGCTGAGACATTGCGTAATATATTGTAAAAACACTCGGACCTGACGGTCCTCTTGTTGTTACAATATATTACTTAATGTCTCGCTCTCGACCATTAAACAATACTTAATATACTGCATTATAAGCTAGCTATATAGTACAGTATAACCTATTTCAGCCTGTTTGGAAATATCTCTTCAAAAAGCCACTAAAAATTGCTGTAACTAACTTCAACTTAAGTATCAGTTCAGTGCTGAACAGCCTCAAGATAGGATACATGTGAAAATTTCTTACCTTCTATTGGCTCAGCAGGTTCAACCACGTAATCATCTTTTATATAGGCATATGTACATTCGGAGATATGTACCTGACCTGGTCTACCAGTAGATTCCAGATTGTTTGCTAATGTTACATCATTCGACCATACATCAAACTTAAACCGACATTTACCCACCAATCCACAGAGGACAGTGCCAGTGTGAACACCAACCCTCATGTCTACAGATTCCTTTTTCTCCTCATCAAATTGTTTAATAGCTTTGATCATTCCTCGCCCCATTTCAACGCAGCATTCAGCATGATCATCCCGAGGTTTGGGACATCCAGACACACAATAATAACAATCTCCAAGAGTAGTAATTTTCTCACATCCAGTATCCACACACAGCTTGTCAAATCGACCAAATAAATCATTGAGGAGTCCTACAAGTGTTTCAGCAGTTTTATTGGAACTCATTTTAGTAAATCCAACAATGTCAGCAAAAAGGATGCTCACCTTATCCATTTTGTTCATATTGAAACTTCGGAATATAATTTTTCCTTTAGCGGACTTGACTTTCCCTTTCTTCTTAGATGGATCATCCTCATCCTTTTCTTTGCCTTCTCTTGTTCTCATTGCTTCTTCAGCAACGGATGGAGGCATAAGTGAGTGGATCATTTTTTCTTTATTCTTTTTCTCCCGAATCAGTTCTCGCTTGACAATCAATGACTGTCCTATTTTCCAGAAAGTACTGCGACGTCGTACTTCTGACATAAAGAAGATATGAATTCCAATTAGATGAATACAGAGGTGCAAGAGGATTTTCCCAATAATAAAGTCATAACGGTTCATGATGGGATGTCCAAGGGCAGTCAATACTTCGTATATTATAGAATACCCTCCTCCAATTAATACTGCCACAAAAAGAGGCATAGGAATAAACGTATACACAAGCAACAGTATTTCCACAGAAGCACAGAATGAGCCCACTGTGGATAGATCTGCAGGGTTGAACAAAAACCCTACCAGTAGCAACAGCCCTAGAACAACAGTGTACACAACCGATGTAGGAATATACATCAACGGATATTTACCAGTTTTAGTGAAAACCAATGTTAGAATTGAAATTAGGGCTAGGACTGCAGCTCCTGACACATACACTATCCAATTATTTTCTCGCATTAATCCAAAAAATATACACCATGCAGCACAGGCCACCACAATATAAAGCAAAACATATTGGAATCGCCTCTGAGTTTGAGGAAAATAACACTGCCAGAGATATTCTTCTAGGATTGAAGAATCGAATTTAGGATTCCACCAGCTTCCTGATGCACGTTCAAAGAGTACCGGCCCCTTACGTTTATTAGGGTGCAAAGGAGAACTTGTATAGCGATTTTTTGCCGGAGATTTAATATCAACCTGAACTGACTCAGGGTCGATAGCATTAAAAACTGCCGTTTCTCCATTACTCGCCATTTTGAAACAAATCGTCTACAGAACAAACTAATTGCTATAAGTCCTCTAGTCTAATGCACTACAGAAGACAACATATACACGATGAAGACATGTCTTAAAACCAGGCTACACACAACATGTTGATATAATCCTATATAGTGTCCTTCCCTTCCAGTTTTGTTCACTGTTCACCGTATAGTCAACACTTAATCTGGCGAAAGTTCATGCATCCAAAGCATTTTAACAGCAATGAACATAACGGTTTATGAAATACCGTATATAAAACACTACCGGTACTATATTTCCTAGCCTACTTGCTGCTTAATTTGCTGTCTCCTCTATGCCATTCTTCCTTCTTATGAGGCTTTCACCTCGCAACCAATGGAACTGTGCCCGTCTGTATTCAACACCGCTAATAATCAGTCGAGGTTCTCCGATACACCGCTAGAGTAATGTTTGAGCTGTTCCGTTGTCCTCCATCGGTAAACGAGAAGATTATTCTTCTAGTCAGCGAGCGCACCCCTCTGATAACGGTAAATTAACTTCTATGGTAAAATTGCGAATGAAATGGTGGTGGCCGAACGGAGATTAGAGCAAGGATTAGGGATGTAATCGGATTATGTATGATTACATGTAATTAGTGAAGCCAGATATAGAATAAATAATGTCCCAATAATGCATAAATGACACGCACAAACCTAATGTATTAATAGGAGAATTACCAGTCGAGGATTATGAGTTCAGTAACGAAGACATACGGATAATAAACACTAACCTCCATGTTAACTTCGGGTAACGCACTCCAGATTTGTATTAATGTAGCTAAGTCTCTAACTCAATATCATCCAAAACCTTCGACAACGAAAACACGAATTATTTGTCAATTTTAATCAACATTGGTGTTGTGATCTTACCGGAAAAAGATGGGCTTCTCATATCTAATATTTAAGACAAAATAAACATTTTACGATTGGTACACGAATCGTGTACCATAATGCGTTTCAGTGCAATTTGTAGCAAGCGACTCGAAGAACGGGGTTAAACATGTTCCACAAGTCATGTCAAACGGTGACCCCATATTCTTATCTGGAGAACGCGCGCAATAAATACTATCGGTGTAGACTAGAATAACCAGACACTAGAGATTGCCATTGGATTGAGACTTCTGGCGTATTTCGCCGAACATAACTGCTTTGAAATTAGAGTAAAAACGGAAACGATTAAACGTAAATCAGTTTATTTACATTTGTGTCAATTTCTGGGTCCCAAATATTAGCAATTTAGCTCCTTTAAGTGAATCGTTTAATTGAATAATAGGCCTACTTAAAAAAAGAAAGAAACATATTGATTTCTTATCTGATCTCCGACCCGAGCAAGGAAAGTGAGGAAAAGGGCGATTTCATTTGCATGCAGGGTTTTTCAAGTTAGAAATCCAATGAAAATAGATATACTATTCAAAAAAAGTAGGGGATATTTGATTTTTAAGTGTTATTAAAGTCACCTAATGAAACTGACGAAGAAACAAATGACAAAATGAAATGAAGTTCACATTCATCGATTTATTCCAAATGATCGTTAGACTAAGTAAGGCACAGACTGACCATTATAAGGGCAAAATGATACCCGGGGTCAAACAGCAAAGTTACCACAGCATCAATACCAAGTCAGTAACGGGTAAATCCTCCTCTGCCAAACAAGCATTGATCCGACGTGGCATACTCCTAATGAGACGTCTAAGGTCATTTTGGTCCAGATTGTCCCATTCCTGTTGCAACGCAGCAGCAAGTTCTTGGACATTGGCAGGACGTTGTTGACGTTGACGTAACCTCTGTCCAAGCATGTCCCAAGGTAATGTGGTGATGTTCTGTTGTTGGAGGTAACCTGTAACGATCCTGGCCCTGTGACATCTTGCGTTGTCATCCTGGAAGATGAAACGGCGGCCATGACGTCTTGCGAACGGCACAACATGGACTGCCAAGATGTTGTCCCGGTAGTACTGGCCTGTAACACGCCCTGCAACAACATGTAAAGCCGTTCTTCCAGCAACAGTGATGCCTCCCCACACCATAACAGAACCACCCCCAAATCGATCATGTCTGATGACGTTAACGTCTTGGAAGCGCTCGTTTCGACGACGCCACACCCTCCTACGTCTGTCCAAAAAATCAACAGTGAACCTTGACTCATCTGAAAACATCACATTGCTCCAGCGTCGATTATCCCAGTGTTGACGATCCCTACACCAACGACGTCTTGCCTGAATGTGATGATCTCTCAAACAAGGGATCACGCGAGGACGTCGGGGCGCGAAGGTGACCCCTATGCAGTCGATTCCGAATCGTCTGGCCACTCACTCTCACACCAGTGTCTGTTTGAAGACGAGCGCTGATCTGATTTGCTGTGATGACACGATTTCTCAAGGCCAAGGTACGGATAAATCGATCCTGGGCTTGAGTTGTCGACCTGAGCGTGGTCTGTCCTGTACAGATTGTGTATCACGGTATCTGGACCATAGCCTGCTTATGACAGACTGAGAAACATTCATCGTCCGCGCCACAACCGCCTGTGTTGTGCCGATCTGTAGCATGCCAAGGGCACGTAACCTTTCATTTTGGGTAAGCCGACGCATATCAAAATTTGTTTTCTGGTCACTAAAACAATTAAACTGATGTTTCCACCCTGGAATTCAATGCCACAATGACTGTAACATTCAAAGTCAGAGTCGTGCAAATCTTGGGTTGGACCCCCATGATGATCCCAAGCATCACCTGCATTCCATGCGGTAGCTATTGGTGCGTTTGGGCGTCACATGTAACTGGAAATGTTTCTTCTGTTAGGTTCTATAGTGACTTTTTTCGTAGTCATTTGCATATTTTAGTATTATGCCCCCAAAATCAAATATCCCCTACTTTTTTTGAATAGTATATATATGCGTCATTTGTTTAGGCAAAGGTAAAATAATTGTACACAACGACAATGTTACTTGGTGGTAGTTTCATATTCTTTTATATCACATTGTGCAATATATATATATATATATATATATATATATATAGGTACTGGCCTGTAGCCAAATTGCTAACTTCCGAGGGGCAGTGAAGTTTTTAGGGGGGGGGGGGGCACACCCGGCACAGTCTACAGTAGGTATATTACAGCTATGGTCGGCAAATTTTTTTTCGGGGGGGCCTGTATAGGTAGTACGCCCCTAACCATAGTTCAGATAACGAATATATTTCCATTCGTTCTATTGTAGAAATATTGATATAGCTCTTAGACGATATTATTACTCTATACAATATACCCACTGAACCACAAAGAAATTGAAGCGATTTCCGTTAACCGACCGATCAAGATTACTTCTTTTGACAAACTTCAACGAGTTATTCAAATGCCAGGTTCCCTTGTTCAACACTTTTTGATTTGGTGAGGTCGATACCACCTATAATATGGAAATGAGGTTTCATAAAATAAAGGTCATCGCTGAAGTCAGAAGTAGCATTGATGATTCGCAGGTTTCATAACAAAAGCCCAATACACATAGGCGTACGGGCTCGATGACAGTTAGGGGGCAGAACCCGAAATGCCCGAAAAGATTTCGCGTGCACAGACAGCGGCGCCGATCTTCCTCAAGAGGCCAAGAAGCAGAGCTCCCCTTGTATTGTACCCCAAGGCCCCCCCCCCCCCCCAGAATCTTTTTGAATATTTGATGTCTGAAAACATAATTTCCTGCTATTTCAGCCCGTGAACAAAGCAACTTCAAAGTGGTCCAATATAGCCTAATTAAGATGGCTGACTCGAATTCCAATCAAAAGATCAATCTTTTACAGTCCACGGAGACGGGACCGTTTGGAGAAAATTTTGAAAATTTAACAGCCGCATACGCGTTTTCCTGCTATTCCAGTCTGTGAATACAGCAACTTCAATTTGGTCCAATATAGCCTACCTGGCTGACCCGAATTCCAAACAACCAATCAATCGTCGCGGGGTATGGGGGGCCTCACCCTCGGGGCCTCACCCTCCCGGAGAAAATTTTGAAAATCTAACCACCGCAAATGCGTTTTCTGCTATTACATTATTATATACTTTGCGACCCATTTGTGTCAATTTCTGGGTCCCAAATATTAGCAATTTAGCTCCTTTAAGTGAATCGTTTAATTGAATAATAGGCCTACTTAAAAAAAGAAAGAAACATATTGATTTCTTATCTGATCTCCCACCCGAGCAAGGAAAGTGAGGAAAAGGGCGATTTCATTTGCATGCAGGGTTTTTCAAGTTAGAAATCCAATGAAAATAGATATATATGCGTCATTTGTTTAGGCAAAGGTAAAATAATTGTACACAACGACAATGTTACTTGGTGGTAGTTTCATATTCTTTTATATCACATTGTGCAATATATATATATATATATATATATATATATATAGGTACTGGCCTGTAGCCAAATTGCTAGCTTCGGAGGGGCAGTGAAGTTTTTAGGGGGGGGGGGCACACCCGGCACAGTCTACAGTAGGTATATTACAGCTATGGTCGGCAAATTTTTTTCGGGGGGGCCTGTATAGGTAGTACGCCCCTAACCATAGTTCAGATAACGAATATATTTCCATTCGTTCTATTGTAGAAATATTGATATAGCTCTTAGACGATATTATTACTCTATACAATATACCCACTGAACCACAAAGAAATTGAAGCGATTTCCGTTAACCGACCGATCAAGATTACTTCTTTTGACAAACTTCAACGAGTTATTCAAATGCCAGGTTCCCTTGTTCAAAGCTTTTTGATTTGGTGAGGTCGATACCACCTATAATATGGAAATGAGGTTTCATAAAATAAAGGTCATCGCTGAAGTCAGAAGTAGCATTGATGATTCGCAGGTTTCATAACAAAAGCCCAATACACATAGGCGTACGGGCTCGATGACAGTTAGGGGGGGCAGAACCCGAAATGCCCGAAAAGATTTCGCGTGCACAGACAGCGGCGCCGATCTTCCTCAAGAGGCCAAGAAGCAGAGCTCCCCTTGTATTGTACCCCAAGCCCCCCCCCCCCCCCCCAAGAAATTTTTTGAATATTTGATGTCTGAAAACATAATTTCCTGCTATTTCAGCCCGTGAACAAAGCAACTTCAAAGTGGTCCAATATAGCCTAATTAAGATGGCTGACTCGAATTCCAATCAAAAGATCAATCTTTTACAGTCCACGGAGACGGGACCGTTTGGAGAAAATTTTGAAAATTTAACAGCCGCATACGCGTTTTCCTTCTATTCCAGTCTGTGAATACAGCAACTTCAATTTGGTCCAATATAGCCTACCTGGCTGACCCGAATTCCAAACAACCAATCAATCGTCGCGGGGTATGGGGGGCCTCACCCTCGGGGCCTCACCCTCCCGGAGAAAATTTTGAAAATCTAACCACCGCAAATGCGTTTTCTGCTATTCTAGCCCGTGTAAGCAACTCCAAAAGTATCC